GAAAAAATTCTACAACATCAACAGTAAATACAGCACCGGCATCAGCTCTTGCCTTTGCTGCTAATAGAAATTTAATAACAATGACTGTTGGACTTCTATCAGCAGAATCTACAACGACAAATTTAAATTCATCAAATAGTACTTCTCAAAATCGTTCATCATTTTTACGTGAATGTGATGAAGCCTTATTAATTGAACAATTATGTAAAGAAATACAATTTCTCAAACATCGAATTGAACGACGATGTTTAAAAACATCAAAAGTTTCAGAAAATTCTGTTTCATATTATGAACAATATGCAGAATTTGATCCATTCATTACATTATGTGAACCATCAAATCCATGTATGAAAGATATATTTATAAGCACACTATAGATAATGTGTTTGTCTTTTTTATAACTTTTTATAAGATCAGTCTTTTTTATTTCTTAAAACTGCCATCTATCATATAAAACTCAGGATTCAATTCACGTCTCGATTGAGTAGCGTCATGATGTAGACGACTATCATTCGCTTGCGCACTGATATCAGAAAATGGTCATTTAGAGACATGGACGAAAAGTCACCCATGGCGATCATTCTGATCATCAGAAACCACAATTAAAACACGATACATTTTTTTTTATCGTTCTCTAAGGCTACGAAAAACGACAATATAGTATTGTTTATAGCCATTAGATAGTGCTGAAAGTTAAAAGAAAAACAAATATGTCTTTCTTAAAAAGTTAGAAACGCGCATATATGTGAAAATATGACGTAGATTTTTCCGAAAGGCATCGATTCTATTGGAATAATTAATTTCTTTTTTGTTCTATAGAACATCGTTACCTTTGTATTTATAGGGATAACTGATTCTACTGATCTATGGGAATTAGAAAAAGCCGTTAGTTCCAAAGATATATCATCAAGGCGTATTAAACGGTGGAGTTTTTCAATAAATGAATTACTTAAAGATCTAATTGGTCGTGACCTTTTTTGGAAAGGACAGGGGCGCATAAGAACATGATTTGGCCCATAGCACTTTTCAAACAGAACTCATCACAATCATACATAGGATGGAAGAACTTTTCACGGCGAA